GTACATGCTACTATTGGCCTACCTTGTTAAAAGACAATGTGGAATTTGTCAAAAAAATGAGACAGGTGTCAGAGACACGTTGATTTGCATCACGCCCCACTCAAGCTCCTTCACTCCATGACATCACCTTGGCCTTTCTACCAATGGGGTGGACATTCTAGGCCCATTCTCCTTGACTCATGAGTAATTAAAACTCTTGATCGTAGGGGTTAATTACTTCACAAAATGGATATATGTGGATGATGTCCTCATATTATAACTAAACGAGTTTTTTATTTCTACTGGAAAAATGTTATGTGTAGGTTTGGGTTACTAGGCGTCATCATTTTTGGCAATGGAACACAGTTCTCCAACACCATAGTTACGGAATTCTGTCGTAAAGTGGGAGTACAAAAAGTTTTTGTCTATGTCGTCCATCTACAAGCCAAATGACAAATAGAGTCGAGGGACAGTGTGATATTGAAAAGGACCAAGAAGAAGTTGGATGATGCCAAGGGGATGTGGGTCGAGTTTCCCCATGAGATATTATGGTCATACCATACCACTCTCCATTCAACTACTAAGGAGACTTCCTTAACCATGGTATACGGGGAAAACATTATGCTACCTGTATAAATCGATATGCCCTCATGGCAATGTTCTCAGTTCATTCGAGAAGTGAATGGTACAGGGCTAAGGTGTACCTCTATTTGATCAAAAAAGAAAGTGTTTAAACTGCAATAAAGCGGCAAGAAGTAAAAATTTATTTTTGAAGGAATTTCCTCCGGGGTATATATCATCTCCATAGGCATCGGTGCGAGGGAAAGAACACCGTTCAACGGCCTCTACATTTCTAAGATTTTTTTTGATTAAATTGGTTAAAAGATCAAAGGACCATAAATAAAGCATAAAATATAAAGACAGAAAATATAAAGTAAAGACTGAAATATAAACGGAGCATTGTTGGGATTGGACTCATCAGTTGATAACACATGCATTCTTCTAATCATGTTATACACAACTCAAACTTTTGTCTAATATAATCACGTATCACCCACAACAGAGGTTATGTCTAATGCAAAGTCGAAAGGCTAACTGTTTTGTCTCATCGGTGATATCTCACGCAAAAAAATCAACATGGAGCATTAAGAACTAATAATCACATGAATGTTCAACCTAAATCTATGTATAGAGTTTAGACCCAACTGATATTACTATAACATCCATATCAAATTAATGATTTATTTCATATATAACGTCATGATCAGAATACGTACACATGGTTAACCCTTTTTACATGATTTCACCTAATTTTTCAAACGTATGTGAACATTATCACGCACCCTCACAATACCGTCCGTGTCAAGAACAATATAATGGTCTTTAACATGTTGATCCTACTAATGCTACTAACCAACACAATAAAATATATATGATGTAAATGAATATCAACTCACAAGATTACGTCAAAAGTTTGCTCATTGATAGATGAGAATTTTAGATCAAAGATTTGAAAAAGGTTTTGTCAAGACCCACAAATAAGAAATCAAAGACAACGTCAATAGAGAATCAAAACTAGTTCACAATACACAAATTAGATGAAATATATAAGGTATCAAAAGATTATATCTAAACCTCAACAAGAGATCAAAGATCTTACCTTCTCCATCTTAGGAATTGTATTTCTTTCTCTAAAATATGCTTGAAATGAAGAGAGATAAAAAATTTATCCCCAAAATATATTCTATCCTTCTAAAAAGTGAGAAAAATATTTATATAGTATTTACAAAATTTGTCATGTTCGCACCGTGAACCCTTTCTTCGCCCAACAAACAAATTTTTAGGCATCTTAAGTGCCTTTGAACCGTTAAACCTCCCTTGAGAAATATCTAAAGTTTGATGTGCGAATTTAGGGTCCTTTAGCTACTGAATTTAATCTGAGATGGTTCACTGGTCCTTCGCTGCATATTCGCACAGCGAACATTTGCTTCTTGTTTGCACAATGAACTTCCTAGTTCTTCTTCACTTCTTTGTCTTCCTTGTCCAATTCATTGTGTCTTAATCATTGATGTTTTATGCCTAATTTCTACACAATAACACACACATCAAAGAACTCAATTGTATTTGCAATATAATTGAAGAATTACACAAGAACAAGAATTAAATCTATAAAAACATGAGAAATAAGTTGAAAAGTGCCAAGAAAGATAGTTCATTTTAAGTCAAAATTTTCACTTAAGAGTAAAATATGTCGCCCATATCTGGAAGTTCTCTCCCAAGTAAAGAATGACTGAAGATACAACTCTAAAGTGATGCCAAGGAAAATGCAAGAGGGCAACTTGGTGTTAAGACAAGTGGTTTTTCCTGCGCACCAGGGAATATTGTAGCCCAACTGGGAGGTACCACATCGCATATTCCAGAAGCTACCATATTAAGCATATAACATGGAAGAATTGGATGGAAGAATCGTCCCTATGACTTGGAACTCCATTTGTTTAAAATATTATTACAGTTAAGTTATTTATAAATTTTCAGACGGGCATATTTCCCACCTATTTTTAATTTTTTGAATGTTTATAAGCAAGTAGAACATTTTGGTTTTATTGTTAAGTATGTTAGACTTACACATGGAGATCCTTGCCACTTGTTAAGGAAATAAAATTATGCTAGACTTCCAAAGGGAGATCATTTTTGTCCATTGAGGATATAAAGTATGTTAGACTTCTACAAGGAGATTCTTTCCATCTATTAAGGCAATAAAACATGATGGACTTCCACAAGAAGATATTTTATGCCTCTCAAGGCAATACAAATATATTGGACTTCCATGATAAGATTTTTTTCTCCATTAAGGGCAATAGTAATTAGATATATGCAGGGGATCGTCTCTTTTAAACGCTTTTTCTGAGGGACTTAGAGTCTCATCAGACATGTTCAACGTATAATCTTTCTTCAGGGACTTAGATTCCCATCAAATAGACTCATCTAAATGACTTGCTTGAGAGACATTAAGTTTCCTTAAACAGGCTCATTTAAATTCCTCTCTTAAGGGACTTCAAGTGTCATGAGATAGGCCTAGTCTAATGTCTCGCCTAAGGGACTCGACCAAAGCCTGGCCGAGAAACTTAACTTACTTCAGGGTTTCAACCGAAGTCTTTCCCAAGAGACTCAATGCCTTGTCTAAGAGACTTAGAGTCTTGTCTGACAGGCTAAAAGTATAATCTCACCTAAGGTACTTAATGTCTCGTCAAATAGGTCCATCTAAGTGTCTCGCCTAAGGGACTTATAGTTTCATCATATAGGCTCAACGTATAATCTCTCCTGAGGAATTTATAGTCCCATCAAATAGGCTTATCTAAACGACTCGCCTAAGGGACTTAGAGTCTCATCAAACAGGCTCATCTTAATGCCTTACCTGAGGAACTTTGAGTCTCATTAGATGGGTTCATCCTAAAGTATCGCCTAAGGGACTCGACTAAAGTATGACCTGAGAGACTTAACTTAAAATTCTTGCATGAGGGTTTCGACCAAAGTCTTACACGAGAGACTCAACGCCTCACTTGATGGACTTAGAGTCTCATCAGACAGACTCAATGTATAATCTCGCCTGAAGGACTTAGAATTCCATCAAACAAACTCATATAAACATCTCGCCTAGAGGACTTGACTTAGAGTCTCATCAAATAGACACCCCCCGCACGTAGCCAATCAAGCACTCCACCCTTTACCAAGCCCTTATGCTTGAGGGATGGTGTAATGATATATTTGTGAAGGGTCCGCTAAGGGCAAGGATACCATGCCGCCAACAAAGGGTGATGGAGTCATGTCGCCCACGGGGAAGACAACCTTGTCCGCGAGACTCTTCACTCATCCAATATATGAAAATGTGGAAAATGACATGTCTTGGTTAAAGACAGTCCAGAAAAGATTCAAGAGAATAACCCATATCTCCTTAAAAAATAGGGATTCAACAATCCACTAACATGACTAGGTGGAATGTTGCAATTCCCTAGAAACCGTAAAATCCCATACCTAAAGGCCTCTATAAATGTCTCATCCTTAGGGATGAGGGATGATATTTTGAATACACACGAAATAGTTCAAGAATACAAAGTTTCTCAACCCACGTGAACTTTCTCTCCCATCACCGAAAACGCTACAAAACAAAATTTCTCACCGGCACGAGCTTGCTCTAAACTACTGAAAGTTTTTTTTTGCCATCCCTACCAATATAAAGGTGTCAAACATATGTTTTCTTACAAATATAAGTACATATCACTTGATCTACCCCACCCATTTTATACCATTTTTCTTTCAGTGTATTATATAACATTAGTTAAATCTATCAAATTTATAAAATTGAAAAAGTATAATGACACTTCATTGTACGTAATAAAAACAAACTTCACCTTATTTACATTATCTACCAAATCCAGTACATAAAGAAATTGTCCAATACGTAAAAGCTTGTCTAGTACTTCGATCTATTATTACTTGTTCTCTTGCTAATCTAACTTACCCTTCAACTTTTTTAATATGGCAATGCCTAAATTACTCAACCAATCCATTAAGGTGAAAGGTTTATTTTTTCTGCTCCATGATTCGAAGGCACACAAGTTTACAGAGTCATGACAAAATACCTTGGATCAGATTCAGCTCATATATTATATACAATAAATACATCATTAGAAAAAAGACAAAAAAAATAATAATAAATCAATATATTTAGTGACACAGTTGAGATGTAGATTTAAAAAAATAAAATAAAACTTTAAAATATTAATTAAAGTTTGATTTTCATGCACACAACATCTTTTGCTTTTATCTTCCTTTAAAAGCCATATGATGAATATGATACATCTCTCTCTTTATTCTATGTCAAAACTTTCCATCTTTTTCTTCTCTTTCTTTGTGTTTTTTCTCCACAAAGTTTCTGAAGTAAAGCTGAAAATTTAACCGATTTTGCAGTACATAGATTCTTTTTCCTTTTTTCATCTTAAAAGTGATTAAAATAAGCACTTATGCTGCTTAGAAACAGATCAAGAGCTGTCACCAAACAAAGTCTAATGGGTGAACCACAATCACCAAGTCAAAACTTCACAAACACAATCCCATCTCTATTTGGTTCATCCAAAAAAACTGAGTCTTTGATAAGTCCAACATCGATTCTTGACACAAAAGCTTTAACTCATTTTGAGAATCCTTTCTCGGTTAGGAACAAAGTAGATTCAAAAACCTTAGGACTTGGTCTTGTTGGTGTTCTAAAAGATGAATATGAACAACCTTTTCACCGAAATTCTGAAAAACTAAGGAATAGAAAAGTTGTGTTGGGAACTGATCAGCTTAGAGTGAAAATCCCGTTTGAGTCAGAAAGTGAGTTTGGTTGCAAAATGAATGATTCTTCATCGTCATCAGAAAAGGGTGTTCTTAGTTTGAGTGAAATGGAGGTTTATGAAGAATACACATGTGTGATATCTCATGGAGCAAATCCAAAAACAACACATATATTCGATAATTGTGTTGTGGGAAGTTACTGTTCTGTCCCTAATTCACTTAATTTTCTTAGCTTTTGTTACACTTGCAAAATTCATCTTCAGCATACAAAAGACATCTTCATTTACAGGTTCATAAAAATATTCATTTTTTTTTGGTTTTATTTAGTTAAATTTGAAGAAAAGTTATTAAAGAGCATGAACTTGATGGTGTTTTTTCTTTCAGAGGAGAAAAAGCTTTTTGCAGTCAAGAATGTCGTAACCAAGAGATGATGTTAGATGAAGGAGAAAATTAAGAATTTGATGCTCAAAAATTAATTTTGAGTTTTTATAATATAAATTTTTATGTTCTATTTGTGTGATGTTTCCTTGTTTTTGATTGCTTTTGATATGATGATGATGATGATATGATTGAAAATAGTGCCTTTATTTTCTTTCTTATCTTAGTTTGTTGGTAATGATAATGCATATAATTATTAAATGGGACCAAAAGTTTATTTTTTCAAGATTCCCATTTTTCATCAATAACTTTATTTTTAATTTTAATTATTTTTAGAAAAAATAAGCAGAGTTCTTTAAATTATTTTTGCATAACTGATTTTTGCATATACTTTAGAAATTAGTTAATAATATGTTTAATATTGAAGTTAAAATATGACATTTTAAAAACTACATTATTAATTTATTCATGTAATACAAATATTATTATTGTTATGATTTTCATGCCCCTAGACTTGGATAAAAATACAGCAAACCATTATAATACTTCAAATAACTGACATTGACAGATAAATATGTATTTGTTATAGGTCGTTTTCCTTATCTATTACTCCATCATCCAAATAATTGAGCATTACCATTAGGCATCAATGAGAAACTTTGTACTTATTAACAACTGTATGAATCCCAAAACTTCAAAGTTCGGTTTTGAAGCCATTTTGATTCTGATATTAAATCATCATAATTGTTATACACATCAACATTATAATTATGTGCCAAAAAGGAAGGGCGGAAAAATACAAATGGGTTATGTCAAAAGGGCTATTTGACCTTAAAAGTGTGTTTTAATGATTTAATTGAATTTTTTTTTTTTGAGAGAGTAATAAATAATTTCTTGTCAAATTTTTGGGTCATTTTTATAAATTTTGGAAGTTTTGAGTTTAACTTAAATATGAAAAATAGGGATTAATTTGTAATTTTTGAAATTTAAAAAAAAAATCAATTTATAAATTTTGAAAATTATTAAAAACTTACTAGTGACTTTTTAAAAATTTTGGAAGTGAATTAAAGTTTTCATAAAATATGAAGGCCATTTTGAAAATTTATAAAATTAATAATAAATAATTTAACATTCACATTATATAAAATTTTTATTTTTTATTTTTTATATGATTTGAAATTCCTTAATTTTAGTTTTAATAAAATACTTCATAAATTTACATTATTTTAACGCTTATCTATATTTTTTATTCGAATAATGGATTTTGGTCAAATTATTTTAAATTTTCTCAAAAATTTATTTTTTCTCATCAAAATGCTTTATCCAAACACACTCTAAAAAAATATTTTTTACACTCATAAATACAAGTATTAAACACTTTAGAGTACTGTAGTGTTATATTTGCAAATGCCCTAAACCAAAGTGCCATCTCCCGGGCGATGACCATGAGACCCTCCCAGAGAAAACCCCGATGTAGAAGCCAAGAAAGAATGAGTCTCCGTTAGTTCTTGAACTATAGGTGGTCAATAACCCCCTATAGAGAAGAGGGAACGGTTGACACCACAAAGGGTGACTCAAACCAAAGACCTAAATGCCTCTATAAATACTCCTCTCATAATAGGAGTAAGACAGACCCCAAGTAATACACACTCTTAACACCCTAAAAAGCACATTGCTAAATATTGTCTTAACACAGGACCACCGGTGAATGTACACTTTCCACTAAGCATCATCGGTCATCTGCAGGGTCTCTCACCTCACGTGAGATAGTCCTCTAAATCACCTCAAAACACCATCATGTTGTTAGCTCAAAATTCGACGCCCATGGTAAAATAGAAATGATTGGTTGAGATATTAAATACTGAAAAAGGATTGAATGAGCCTTCGACCAGTTCCTTGGAAGGAGTGCTTTTGGGACTTAGAAAATATTTCTAAGTGTTGGAAGCTGCTTTTGACCGAGAAAGGAATTCGACACCGAGAAATTTGAAATTCAAATAAGAGAGGGAGCAGTTATCTTGGAGCAGGACAAATAGCGTACTTCTGAAGGATGGATGCATGCAGCGTGACACTTGTCATATGTTGATTAATTTAGGAAGTTACTAGTAGTTATTTTCAGAATTATAAATAAGAGTTTTAGCAATAGGATTCACTGTGTCATAATCACTTTGTACAAGTCACTCTAAATTCACTCAAAGTATCCGCGTGTAGAGAAACGAGTTGCAAAGAGAATGTACGTGATTAGGGCTGACAATGAACCGAACCAACTCGAAAATAGTTCGGAATTCGATTCGACAATTAAATCATTGAACTAGGTTCATGAACCAAATGAGTTAAGTATGAGCGAAAAATTAAATTCGTTAACTAAATGAGCTGAACTTGAACTATACATAGTTCGACTCGTTAGGTTCATGAGTCAACTCGATTACATATGAGAAGAATTATATTGTCTTTAAGATTAGGTTTAAATATTTACTCCAAATCTTAGACAAATTTAATCTTCAATTTAGTAGTTTTTGAATTAGACTCTCAAATGTATCTCTTGAAAGTTGTGCAGGTTTTGAATTAATAGATTTCGAAGATAAAGTTAAATTTCAATATGATAACTTGTATTTTATTTTAATATTTTATTTTAAAAAAATATATTTATTTAAAATGTCAAATATACTAAAATATATATATATATATGTAAAAAAAAATAGTTTTTAAGTTCGTGAATCATGTGAGCTGAACCTAATGAGATGAACCTAACGAGTTGAACCGAACTGCTCGTGAACTTATAACGAGTCGAGTTTGAGCTTAAAAAAAAGTTCGTGTTGAACTCAAACTCGAACAATTCTTAACGAGTCGAGTTGAGCTGAGGTGAGTTCGACTCGACTCGACTCGACTCATTTTCAACCCTATACGTGATGTAAACACCAACCTTTTATCTTCAATACAATTTACTTCAAGTCTTTTACATTAAAAGTTCATCTTTACTTTATCTGCAAGTTACATTTCAGCCTTGTCTTAAGTTTCTTCCCAGCTTTTCTTTATTGTTTTAAACCTTTTCCTTACTACCTTCAAGCTTTTTAATTTGATGCTTTTATGTTTCTGTCGAAGCCAAACTTACAATTAAACTTTTCTTTATGAATCTTGTCAAAGTATTTATTTTCTTAGAATCTATTTGAAACCAACCGTTAGCACTTGTCCTAGGATCAATCTGATTGATCCTGTGAGTCACCAAGGTTAGACTTGGAATATCAGCGGTTGTTTACCAATTTTTACGGTAAACAAATTGGCATGCCCAGTCGGATAGTGCTAATTGTTACAAAAAAATTTCAAAGTTTCTTAAAATCCATAATTATCAGTCTTTTTCTTTGAGAAAGCTTCGTTGTATGCTATTGAGAAGTGGAAAAGTATCCACCACAAACAAAAAGAGACCAAAGAGAAGATACAATAGGGAAATGGCGACAAATACTAGTCAGCCAAGCAACCCAAACCCTCGAGGGAGTGATTCAAATCCTCAATCAAGTAATTCAAATAGTCAGCCTAGTAACGCAAACCCTCAAAATGTGTATAGATATGACGTAGTGCCACCCTAGTTTCTTTGACAGTTGAACAGTTACCGCTTCATGTTATGTCTGAACTAATACCATCAACGGTGGGAACAGGTTCGACATATACAAGGGCTTACACTCAACCTGTTTTGAAGTACATTGGGGAACAAACATATAATCCCTAAACTCCACCAGGAGGAGCTTCGACGTTCAGACAATTCCCTCCTCCAGATTTTTCACAACCATTATCAAGGAATCCTCCTTATGGAATGCCAACGTCAATAATTCAAAGCCTCCACAATGCCCCCCAGTATTCTCAGAGAATGTAATGTCTTCGCCGTTACAAGGGTCAGGATTTGGGATAAATGTGGGTCGAAACAGTCAAAGTGTAGGCATGGCTTATTCCATTCAAGGTCCTAGTCTGACAAATACCTTCATAGCGTGTTTAAGGCAGCAAATGGACGAGAGTAACCTCCAAATGGTACAAACCTTGTCTCAAACTATGGGGGAGATTTTCTAGCCTTTGATCCAGAATACTGTTGCACCCTAAAATTTGACCAATCAGTCCCCGTATCTGGTTTATGTTTCAACGCATTTTGCATTCGCATTCGCATATTGCATACATGGCATTTTCCTCAGTCAAATGGATTTTATCGGGATTATAGCCCCTGGCGTTTCAGGCAGTTCATGCCGGTTGGAATAAAAGTCTGTTGAGAATTGGTGCTCGTCTCCTGTGTTTTCAGGCCATCTCGAGGCCCGGGTTTCGCTACGGTTGCGCAATTGGGTTTTATTCGATTTAATCGGCTTCCTGGCATTTTTAGGATTTTTCTGTTATTTTTCTGGATTTTTAATGCACTTAATTGGATTTTTCTGGATTTAATAGAGTTTTTAATATTTTTTAGAGTTTAAATAAATTTTCTTTTCATTTTTTAGAAATTAATAGATTTTTAAAGAATTCTTTTTAGATATTATAGTTTTTTTAACAAATTTTAGATATTTTCTTTTATTAGTTTTAATAGATAAATAGATAGTTTTCTTTTAAAAGAGTAAAAAAATAAATAATAAAATAGATAGTTTGTTGGAGTTTATTGTTTTTTAAAAGAAAAATTAATGGAATAGATTTTTTTTTAAAAAATGAGATTAATTGTTTTTTTTAGATTTTTATTTTTTGTTTTTCAGAATTAATTAGGTTTTTAAAAAGGGGTTTTTTTAATATCAAATAATAGTTTTAGATTTTTTTAGATTAATTAGATTTTATTTTCATTTTCATTTTTAGGGTTAATTAGGAGTTATTATAGACTTTAATTAGGGTTTATTTTTAATTTTTTCGTTTAGGATTTAATTGTTTTTTTCCAGTTTAATTGGGTTGTGTTTAGAGTTAATCTTTGAGTTTTAATGCAGTTAACCGTGTTTAAGTCATTAATCAGCAGCATTATCCAAGTGGGCCAGAGTCCAGTGCAAAGCCCAAGTTCGGATCCATGCCACATGTCATTTAAAAGCCCTGCCACGCTGTCGCTACTGCGAAAAGCGGCGCCGGCTG